GCCACATATTTATGCTTGACACTCCTCCATGAAATAGCTCCTCCTCCCAAAGTAAACACATGCCCTAAGGTAGATTTACTTTCGTCCCAAACTGAAGGGAAGTCAGAATCGGCCAGCGATAACAAGTTGTTTGCACGGTAAACTAACACGTAATACTTAGTCCTTCTTAGATACTTGAGTATATGCTTTACTGCAGACAAATGTCCAAGAACTGGGTCACTTCGATATCTAGCTATCATGCCAACGACGTAGCTAATATCCGGCCTCGTACATAACATTACATACATGAGGCTTTCTACTGCTGAAGCATAAAGAACTGCCTTCATGTCCTCTATCTCTTGGGGTGTCTTGGATGAACCCCTTCTTGGAGCTCTGCATGTTGAACCTCGCCAAGACTCTATGTACGAAGATTGGGATAAGGACAACATTCTATTTTTACGGTCTCTAATGACCTTAATACCAAGAATGTGTCCTGTTGTACCCAAAAATCCTTCATATAAAATTGATTTTACAACCATATCTTTACGTATGACAATTCCTTCTTAATTATTGTTTACATCATCTTGAATCGACTTTAGTCACTTCATGGTATCCAGTTCCTTATACAATTAAAGTTCATCTCTATATTCCTTCGCATATTTTTTTAAAACTGCTAGAGTTTTTTCTTCTCTTGTCTCATTGATTTTCTTCTGAATATATTTATTTATTTCATATTTAAGTTTACTTTCAACTATTTAAATTAATCCTGATCGTCATTAATTTTATAAAAATTTTCTCTTACTTGACAAAAAAATTTTCTATGTAACATGCGTTGCATAACTTCATGTTAGTTAGAAATCTAACTACCTTTTTATGTTTCTTTTGACTCTGTCATGTAATTCCTAAAAATTCTATCAATAAGTATTTGGCTAATTTTCTTAAAACTGCTATTCTATATTCTGCTCATGTCTCTGAACCATTGGCTTGAAAATTTAGAAAGATATGAGTATTTTCTGAATAGGCGGATAATACTCTTGATGTTTTATATATTATATAATTGAGAAATTCTGTTAATACCATTCCATTTATCATTGAATTATTAGTTTGAACTAATAATTTTAGTTGGTTAGTCCAAGGACTATTAATCTTGTGCATTGGTTGCACAATCTATATTTAATATTCCATTAGATAGATTTCTTTATTTTTCTAAATATGTTGGTGGTATATTTTTTCTTAATTTTTTCTTGATTATAATTTAACTATAATCATTTCTATATATAAAATCTCTAAAACTTCTTTCTGTGTAATTATTTTCTGAACTAGAGATGTTTTATTATTATTTGTTCTAGGTCATTTAGTGATAATGTTGGTGTTGTATGAGTTTTTTATCAATCATATTAAATATAGGTTCATCTTCATCTTCACTATCTATTCCACAAATTATTCTTTGTTTATCCTCAACATCTATTTTTGTTATTCAAGTTTCTTCAATAATTACATTTCACTAATAATTGGTTAATCTGTCTATATCATTATTTAGAACTTGTTTGCAGTTCTATTAAAATTGATTTAAATAATTTTTTCGCTATTTTTCTTTTTGTACTAAATCTAATAATTTTTTATTGATTCTTTTATTTCATCCATTTTTTTTAATGTTTCTAATAGGGTTTTCTTATTTTTTTTTTTTATATAAGTATTCCTATTATTTATGAGACTTTGGTTGGCCACTCATAATTTTTTAAAGTATTTGTAAGCTTACTTATACCAATTAATGGTGTCCACATGAAATGTGCCCTATGTATAGGTCGATAGATAAAATGTAGGGAAGTACGCTCAATTTTACATAATAAAGGGATTTTATGCGTTTTGCCCTAAAAAAAAAGTATAAATAGTTTATATATATGTTGAGTAAAGCACACGATAAGAAGAGGCGTGACGCTGGAGAGCGAAGATCTCGACTCCCGCAGTCTTACTATAACTTAACAAACAGCCAACACTCTTAAAGCTGAGGTGCTTCTGTTCACTAACATTTTCATATAACTACACGCAAGCATGAATTGATTTTGTTTGTCCTTTATTATCACATACACCGACAAGAAAATTTAAGGACAAAAATAATAATAATAATAAAAAAAATAGTTATTGGCCGGCTCGGTATTCAAAGAAAACAAAATACTTTCACATCAATTGCACAAAAAAAAAATTGAAGCTTGAATTTTAGGAATATACATAATTTTAAATATTAAATTTATTGATATCTAAATATTAATAAAATTAGAAAATGAAGTATTTAAAAAATTATTTTATTTTTTTTAGTAAGCTTCACTATTGATTCTTGTATTTAATTTTATCTGAATTTCATACTTCCAAGCATCACCAATATTCAAGTTTGAAAAGAAAAATAAAATAGAATATATGAAAATAATTTACTTTTTAATTTTATTACATATTTAAATTATAGATTTAAAGAAATCAAAGTAATATTTCGATAATATATTTTCAAAGTAATATGATTATGAATAATAGTTTTATTCATAAATATTTTCAAAATAACAATTTTATAGAAAAAAGACTATTGTTCTCTCAAGGAATGATTCGAGGGTTTTTAACCATGTAGATTATCTACAATAACTAACTTACATGTATATCTAAAGGCTAATAACCATCACGGAATTATTCCGTGACGGAACTGTAATATTTTCAAATTTTATATACGAATAACATTTTCAATAATATTAATTAGAAAAAAAATTTTTTTTGAAATAGTTTAGTTTCTAATTTTATTACATCTTCGTATTATCAATTAATATAGTATTTAAATTATACATTCTTAAACTTTTTTTTCAATTTTTTTTTTTTTAGTTTTAAAGTATATTTCATAATTACTTTAGCATAAATGTAACTTAAGTAAATTATTTTTTTACTAAGGTAATTTTACTAAAGATACTTATAATTATTTATTAAATTATTTAATATATAAATATCAAAATAATAGTATTCTGTTTAAACCAATTATTTAAAAATATAAGTTAGTTGGACTGAAATGAAAACTAGAATTTAAAGTAGGCTTTCAATTGAAAATAACTCAAAAATTGCAACTCTTTAATTGAGAAAGTTAAAACTTCAGATCCTAGACTGTTATATTACGATACAAACAAATCGAGCCCTAAAATGAAATTTCTCCTTTAAATTGTTCACATTTATTTAATGGGTAATTAAAAGAAGCAAATATTTTAGGGGAATGTTACGGTTCCGTTATGGAATCACTCCGTCGGGATTTTTAACCGTTAGATCATCATGTAACCGTCGGTGATAGTTGATCTAATGGTTACAAACCCCGACGGAATGATTCCGGAACGAGACCGTAGCATCTTCCAATATTATAATCCTAACTATAAATTATGATATTAACCACGTTATGATATTTAGCACTATATGAATACGATTATTTTTTCCCCCTTTTCATGCTATTGCAATCATATGTGAACATTGGTTCTTGTCGAAACTAATCATATTTTGTGCGAACTTTAATAATTTACTAATGTGTTTAGTTGAACTAATTAGCACTTTATGAATTAATTATTACTAAATGTAATAATTTGGAATTTCAATCTTCATCACACGTCTAATCCTAAATCATTCACCATGCACAATGATGATATGTTTGACTAATTACAGTGTTTCTTAATAATAAGTCAAGGCCTAACGTGAGTTAATTTCTCAATTTACCGTTTTAACTTTCGCCTTTATCATTCAAATCTACCAAAATGATTATAAATATTTGAGTTATTCATGACTAATTATTAACAAAAACTGTTTATATTCAAATACGTAGAATTTACATACGTTATTCTTGTGAGAAATATAAGTTGGCACATAATTGTTTATGAAGGAAATGTGGTTTCATGTGGTGGTCTTTTGTGTTGTAAAAATTAGGGAGCGCACTTAAGCGCCCGTGAAGACAATGCAAAATATGAGCTCAGACTCGAATCGAATTCATGTTCGAGCCGTTCGAATTCGGTCAAATTGGAGCTCGAGTCAAATTTAACTCGAACGCTCATCGTAGCCCCACGTAGGTGCTAGTAGTAAGAGTTAGATAAGTATAGATGCCTACGTAGTAAGAGTTAGATAAGTATAGATATATAAATAGTTGGTTATTATATGTATAATTGTAGGTTATCAATGTGATATTATTATTTATTTTTTTCTTTTTTTTTTAACATTTATTTATGCAACTTGGCCATTATATTTTGTATTTCTTAAATGCAATTTTTTTCAACTTATTTAACGTATAGTAATTCCTAATTGCCACCAACATTAACTAATTGTAAATTCGCATTAGGAATGTTGCCACTCATAAAAAAAAATTACAGCAAAATATTTTGAAATCAAATGGTCACCATCTTATAAATTTATATAAAAATTATATAAATCATTATATTTTTGCAATTTATATATCTTTTTATATATAAGTAAAATAGTATAAATATAATTTTAATGTATACTTTTTTTTTTTATTTTATAAATGCATACATTAGTTGTTCACATATACACGTTTCCAAATCAAATAAAATCGGAGACGATTAAAAAAATTTGAAATAATTTCATTGATATTCATTATAATATGCTATAAATTTATTTTTTATGATTTATATGGACAATACCTTGGTTAAGATAAACATGAAAAAGGATTTTAAGTTCTAACCATTTTATAATATTTTTGTATTTAAATATTGAGTGTTTATTCTAAAATACTTATATAGATAATTATAACGTTAATTTTTTTTATCCTTACAATTTTTTTTTTTCATTATTAGATTAGAATCATTAGATTATGTTGTATTTTCACAATAAAATATATATTTAATAAAACAAAATTGACAAATCAACCTGATTAATCTTGAATAAGAAGTACCATAATTTTCTTAAATATTAACTAATTAATTAATTACCAATACACACTCATAAAAGCCAAGGGTCCAATATTTCACAAAGACAAGAAGAAGAAGAAAAGGTACTAATTAAGCCATACGGAAACTAGCGTTAGACCTCCGGCGGCCATCCTGAACCGGAAATTCAGCGAAGAGCGCCTCCCAAATCTCGGAAAAAGCTTGAACGATAACCCAATGGTAACGCCGGGAATTCAAGGACAAAAAACACTCCAAGAGCTGTTCTAAATCTGTGGGGTCGAACATCTGCTTCTCCAGAATCATGTCCATCATCGAGCTCTTGAAATCCTCGTATGGGTCCGCCGACCTCTTCACCACCGCGAAGCTCTCCTTCACCTTCCCCTCCACCGTGCACGGTATCAGCCTCTTCAACACAGACAGCCTCGCCGGTATCTCCGCCTCCGCCGCCGCGGCCCGCCTCCCGCGCTTGGGGCCCCGCCGCTTCCTGTCCCTCCTCCCGGTGCTGACGGAGGAGTCCGTCGAGAAAGTCGAGACCAGCGTTTCCGTCTCCTCCTCGTCGTCCCTTTCGCCGGCTGCGGCGATTTCGCTGCTGAACCACGAGCTGTCGGCAGAGGAGGTGCTCGCACGGATCCTGCTGTGCTTCACCTTCTTCTTGTTCTTCTTCTTCCTCCTCCTCGCCACCGGATTCTTCTTTCCGCCTCGCCCTCTGCGCTCCGGCGGCGGCGGCGGCGGCGGCGGCGGCGACTGCGGGCCGTCTTCAGGGGAGCTGCAAATTTTCAGACGGGGCAGGGGCTGCTCCTCGCAGATACTGGCGAAGACGTGCCACTCTTCCTCCTTCCGCCACTTGAATTCCCGGTGCCTGTCGTCGCCGGTATCGCAAGCGGCGGCACCGATGGATATGAAGGCGGCGGAGGGGAGGCGGCGGGTGGGATTTCGGAAGATTGCGGTGGTGAGCGACTTGGGTAGTGAAGGGATGGGATTTTCCGGGAGATTGGAAGGGTCTTTGGAGCGGCACGATTGGAGGGTGGCGGCGATTGCTCGGCTAATTCGAAGCTTGAAACGTTTGGCCATTTTGGGGAGGGACTGTGGAGTGTGGACAACGTGTAAATCTCTAACTGTGCGTGTCGATAGAAAATGACAAAAATGAGAGTGTTATATAGAAGAGAAAAGGTTGAAAGCTTTGTACCGTGCTTTTTGAAAAATAATATAAAATTAAAATTACGGGAAAGGTTATGATTTCGTTATGGAACAATTCGATTGAGAGTTTTAATTGTTGGATCATTATGTAATTGTCGAGAATAGTTGATCTAACGGTTACAACTCTGACCGAATGGTTCTATAACGGGACCTTCGCATCTCCCTAAAATTGGTATGGAGGAGGAAATACTTTTGTCAGTGAATAGAGCTCATTATCTAAATGAGTTAGCAATTGAATTGAACTCGTCCACTATTAACGGAGCTAGGATTTTCACTCACGGAGACCCGATATTAAATGTTAAATAACGAGTTTGTAATTTACTAGAAACGCTCATTTCATATAAAGTTGTGTTTACTTATAAATATAGATATTAATATGTGTACCTTCTAGTTTTTAAGACTTTAGAATCCGTATCACCCTCAAACTTTTTTTAAGAAAAAAATGAGATTTCATGTATTTATAATTGAAGTTTAAGATCTATAATTTATGAAAAATAAGTTTTTTTTGTTCAAAGTTTGATTTAAATTGAACACATTGCATAGCATTTTTGTTGATGAGAGCTTATCAAATTGAACATTTTTAAATAAAATAAATAAAATTGAAAATATGTGATTACATAAAAAAAATAAAGCAAAAAAATCATTATTCAAATATACAATCGATCAATATTAAAAAATCTAACCATCCAACTAAATTTTAGGTTTTATAAATCATTAAATTGATTTACAATTAAAAGGCCGAAAGAGTAAATTATTATAAATATTTTAAAAAATTTATCGAGAAATGTAAAACATAATGATTGTTAGTATACTTTTCAATAAATAAATAATATTATTATTTTAGATTAAAATAGCAGAATAAGTTTAATTATTTATATGTCTTACATCTTTATTGATTTTTTTATATAATTTTTTTTATTTGCACACAAACGAACATATATATAATGATTTTTTTAAAAAAAAAAAAAAAAAATTGAGGGAGCCCACTGCCCCCCTAGACCTCATGTTGGTCCGTCCCTGTCGTCCACATTATTAATAGTTGAAATACAAAATGGTGTATAAAAATTTTCTTTTCGAGCCTTAACGAGCTGAATCAAACTTATCTCGTTAACTAAACGAGAACTAAATGAACTATCAGCTCGTTTATCAAGCGAACCGAGCCGAGCTCTAACCTTAACGAGCTAAACTATGTCAAACTCACGAGAAATTCATTTTGTTTATTAGCCTTAAAAGAAAGTAAAGGATAATCAGTGTTAATTAAATTAAGAGGAAGTTGGGTGTCGGTCCTGTTCTTCTATACTTGTGTTCAGGCCCTATAGAGTCATCTCGGTAAAAGAAATATAGTACCATTTTAGTATTCAAGCATAGAATTAGAATGCACCTAATCTTACAAAAACCTAATTTCTTATTGAGAATATTTAAAGTGGACCAGTAAAGGGTCACCAGTTGAAAAATTCATAGCCTTAGCTCGTTTTGCAAGCGGCTCCATACCATCCAATTTCGGCCACACCGAAAAGAATAACTACAGGATCGTTTGATAAGTTTAAGCTAAGACATGATATCCAGTCATTCTGTCGTTTTGGAGAAAGTGGTTCGATTGACACACATGACATGGAGCAGAAATTAGAGCCTATAGATGAAAATAGACCAATTTCCTAAGAAAGATGTTTTCAATATGGATGAGAGTAGTTTGTTTTACAGGTTACAAGCTGATCATTCTCTTGCGACAAAGGAACTTGAAGGAAAAAAAAAA